ATGAAATTTTAAGTAGTGACAGTATGATTATTCTCCATTCTTATTTTATTTTTTTATATGAATCTGTTTTTCATGTAAAGTAAATCCTATGTTTTTTTTTTTTATTCTTTTTTGGTTCCGGGGACTGAACTCAGGACCTTGCACTTGCTAGGCAGGCACTTACGCAGCTGAGCTATCTCCCCAGCAAGGCAGGCTTTCTTATAAACTACTGTAAGAAATACAGTACTCCTCTCCTTGCTGAAAGATTCCTTTCCTTAGTAGATGCTGCTCCAGAGCACTGACTTTTTTTACTTCATATGGCATCTGTTGAGCCACAGCAAGTGAAAGGGGTTTTTACTTTGTCTTGCAGGTTATCTGGGATACATTGGGAAACAAACAGTTTTGTTCCTTCAAAATAAGGTGGGTCTAGATTGGCATCTTGGACCAAAATTCTTTTAGTTACTCTCTCGCTACCTCTCGCTATTTTGTAATCTTTCTTTCCTCTTGTCCTAGAACAAAGACTCAAGGCTTTTGCAGAAATGAATATAGCTTGACTGGACTGTGTAATCGGTCATCTTGTCCCCTAGCAAATAGTCAGTATGCCACTGTCAAAGAAGAAAAAGGTAACTTCCCAGTTTTAATTTCCATGAGAACCACTAAGCATCCTTTAAAAAGATATTCTTTAATCCTGCTAACTAACATTAAGGGTATTGTACTTTGTGTTTTAGGACAGTGCTACTTGTACATGAAGGTTATAGAACGAGCAGCTTTTCCTAGGCGTCTCTGGGAACGGGTAAGACACAACCACACAACTGTGATGACCGTTGATCAGGGCCAGGGGTGCTACATATTTTTCTTTCTTCCTTCCTTGCCCATCTCTAGATTAAGCTAGAGAAGGATCCCCATTTGACCTCCATAAGTGGTTTTGATGGTGACAACCTAATCAGTCATTTACCCTGGCCCCACAAGCTTCCTCTTTTTTGGTCTGGTAGGTCCGGCTTAGTAAAAATTATGAAAAAGCACTGGAGCAAATAGATGAAAATCTGATTTACTGGCCCCGCTTCATTCGACACAAATGTAAGCAGAGATTCACCAAGATAACCCAGTACCTAATTCGAATTAGAAAACTTACACTAAAGCGACAGTAAGTATTTGGACCATTCAATTGTTTACTTTTTTTTTTTTTAATTTTATTTATTTATGTGTGTGTGTGGCCAGCTCAGCCCACCAGGGGGCTGGGGCTGGCTGGCATGTGGTGCTGGGGGATTGAACCATGGTCCCTGTGCTTTGCTAAGCTTGTTCTAAGTAGGTACTTTAGATCACTGAGCCATTTCACCAGCCCCGATTGTTTACTTCTTAAATCTATCCTCTTTACATGGAGCATGTTATAAAGCTAAGATTGTAAATCCTCTACTAATCTTTTCTGTTATATTCAACATTATATGTTATCTTTTAAGGTAGGCTAAAATGAGGACACTTTAAAAGTGTGTCCTTTGATTTTGTATGACATTTAAAACAGAGTACACCTTGATTATTCCCCTCGCTGCGCAGATACCTTAAGAAAATTTTATTATTTCCCAGGGAATCTTAACATTAAGAGATTTGAAAGTAATCCCCAAAATGCGAATAAAGAACTTTTCCCTGGAGTCACTGAAAACCACAAAGTGTTGAGAAATCCACAGAATGAATAGTAAACTGAAGAAATATTAGACCTTGATGCTTTTTTCACTATGACATGCACAGAAATAGTTAAAGATAGTCTTTTTAGTTCACTGAAGCATTAACCTTAGTATGTAGGTTACCCATACTATTCAATACCCATTCAAATACCCATTCAATCTCAAGATGGTAAAATTAACCAAAACCACCTAAATAAAATATATGTTCAACTGACTTTAGATAGCACTGAATTTCTAGAACTTGTAAGTAGGATATCTTGGTGTTTTGACCTCAGCCCACAGAACCACTTCCTGTCCTTTTTGTTTTTTTCTAAAGAAACAAAGCACATGAATACACATTTACTGATAATGTGATTTATTTCTCCTAGGAGGAAACTTGTTCCTTTGAGTAAGAAGGTAGAACGTAGGGAGAAAAGAAGAGAGGTAACTTACTATTCTGATAATCTTTGCTTGTATATTTTCCTTGAGAGGACAGTGGAGGCAGGATGGATGGGGATCATTTAGTCACTGCCTTCCATGTACATCGCTACTAGATAAGGATTCACAAATGGATAACAGTACTAGTGCTATGATATCTGATTTTTCCCATTTTATATGATTTTCACTGCACATTAAAATATGATTGCTTTGGGGATAGGTGTACTGAAAGATAGAGCCACAACTTAGTGAAATTCTTAATGTCTATTAATGTGTCAGAATTCAAAACCTTAATGTCATATATTGTCAAAATATTAACATTACCTCACTTTTGGCAGAGTGAGCATTCTAACAACACAGTATTTCTGCAGTGAAATGTAAGAATATTCTCATCAGATAGATGTTTTCACTGTCTTTAAGTATCCTTGTCATACTCTCAACCTGACACCCACAACCTAAAGGAAGAAAGGTTTATTTTGACTCATATTTGGTAGATCTAGCTCTACATGGGGTGGCTTCTAAGGAAGCAGAGAATGCATGAGAGGAGCTGGAAGGAGAAAAACTTTCAGGCCACACCTCCAATAACCAGTCAGCTCTTCAGACCAGGCCCCACGTCCTAATAGCAGGCCAGCTGTAAGCCGCAGAATCTGGTTGCCTTCCAAAGGTCCCACCTATGCTCACAGGAGGTTTAGGGGACAACATCTGGGTAGAAAGCACAAGCCCACTGTCTGTGTGGCCATATATGGTTGCTAAATTGTTTGGATTTTGAATTGGCTGGTAAATAACTGGAAGCTGATCTGAGACTGTTTGGTTCTTTGGGGTAAACTGGGCTGTTCTGTTACACAGTTGGTTACATTCTGAAGGAATGAACAGTAGTGATATTAGCTGGCAGACTAAGACTGGGTGTGATGGTACATGCCTGTAATCCCAAAACTCGGGAGGCTGAAAACAGGAGGATCACTACGAGTCGATCTGTAGTGAGACCCTGTAAACACTGTACTAAATACTTTTTTTTTTTTTTACGGTACTGGGGATTGAACTCAGGACCCTGCGCTTGCCAGGCAAGCACTTACTCTACCCCGAGCTATCTCCTGGGCCCCTAAATACATTTTTTTTAAAAAAAGATAGCTCAGCAGACTAATGTACCTGCTTAGGCAAGCTTAGGGACCTGGGTTTGATCCCAGGCACCAGCGCCAGCCCTGCCCCCAAGGTGATATATGCCTGTAATCTCAGCACGGGAGAGGCTGAAAGCAGGGGGATCACCACAAGTCCGAGCTGTGTAGTGAGACCTGCAAAAACCAAGTACATTAAAAATAATAAAAGGACCTTTCTATCAATTAACTTCTTTAACATGTACTCTCCAACACAAACACTAAGTTTTAAGTATCGTACATGTATACTTCTAATAGTACAATGTATATAGTAAATAAATTTGTGGCATAGAAAAGGCCTGGCTTGGTTCTTGGCTGAAATTATGTCTTTAGGCACTATCCTGATGATAGATACCTCAAAGGTACATACAGAAATGAATTATCTACATCAATTACTTGGGTTTTTTTTTCTCTACAAATTATGCATAGGTTTTTCCTTCATCTGAGTTTTCAAATTACCCAGTTGTCAAACAGGTGTTCTCAAACTTCTCAGAATAAATAGAAACTTTCCTAGTTTTACTTAAATTGAGTTTGGTATACTTTCAGAAATAGATTTAGGATTATGCATGGTGGCACACAATAACAATTACAGCACTCAGCAGGGTAAGGCAGGAGGATTGAGAGTGCAAGGCCAACCTGGACTGCATACGAGGATCCTGTCTCTTAAAAAAAAAAAAAAAAAAAAAAAAAGATTTGGAAGATTTTTAAATGAATTCAAAAATTCTATTTGCAAATTTTTAAGGTGTGTGATTGCATTTTTTTTCCGAACTGTGTTGTCAGCAACATTACCTGTAGATAAGATCACTTTTTTTTAATTTAGTGCAGGGTCTACAGGGACTACAAGGTCTCACTACTCAAATTGGACTTGTAGCGATCCTCCCGTTTCCAGCCTCCCATGCGCTGGATTACAGGTGTATGCCACCATGCCTAGTCTCAAACACTGTCTCAGTGTGCCCCAGGGCACACAGCAGGTCAGGGATCCAACCACTGACCTCTGTGTCTGCCTAAGCAGGCACTTGAAAGATCATCTTTTTCTACACCCTTCCCACTACCCACTGTGGGGACCCAAGTCTGGGCACATGCTAGGCAGGTGCCTGTGGGGCCTGCTCGTAAGCCCTACTTTTTTAAAATGTCCACAGAAGGCAACTTTGAACTTAATGTCTTCCTCCAACTATTACGTGTTGCCTTAACCTTTAAGTATATTTACTAAATACACCATTAAATGACCAGCATAGCTTTATGGCTACTCTGAATTACTCTTACCTATAAATCCACTTACCCAACCAAACATGAATAGTTCCACACTGCAGCAATCTGAATAATGAAGTGAGGTCACCACTTTCAGTATGTTCTCTGGAAATAACCTTCCTTACTAAATGAGACACAGAACTATTTGCTTTATGGATTCAGTCAGGGCATCAGTGTTAGCATACATGAAAAGATTAGTAATAATTTTTTAAAAGAAAAATGTGTCTTTTATGTGGTCTATCTCAGTGAGTCATCCTTGAGGTGTAAGCACACATTACAGGGTAAAGCAGAAAAGTACTGTACCCTTTATGTGTGTGGTGGCAGTGGTAGGGGTGGGGAACTGGGATTGAACCCAGGGCCTCCTGCATATTTGCAAGCATTCTGCTGTTGAGATAAATTCCCAGGTTCCTGTGAAAATGTTTTTGAGACAAGGTCTTGCAAAGTTGCCTAGGCTGGTTTCAAACTGAAGTCCTCCTGCCTCAGTCTCCTGAATAGCTGGGATTACACGTATGCACCAACACTGCTAGATCCAGTGTAGCCTTATAACTTAGCCATGTGCCCCTAGTCTCCTAGCCTTGTGATAGGTCCCACACACTGATTATCATTCCAACACAGCTTGTATGTGTAATAATGTAAAACTCTCTTACGACTTGCACTATCAAATTAATGCAAAATCAATCTACAGAGGTAAATGAATTCATTTGGGGAGGGGGGTTGTAAATGGTATAAGTTGATGGTACCTATACCTGCTTGAAGAGGTCACTGACAAGATTTTTAATCTTTTTACATGAAATTAACATGGTTTTGGAAAACAGCTATAAAATGAGTAGAGGTCTCTTTTCCTTAGCTTTTACAAAGTTTGGCTTCAGGTTTGCTAATTTTCCAGAATTTTTTTTCCAGTACTGGGAATTGAACTCAGCACCCGTACTTGTCAGGCAGGCGCTTACTGTACTGAGCTATCTCCCCAGGCCCAGAATTCTTAAATGTAAGCAGACATATATATTTGGTGTATTAAAGGCTTTGTTAGAACTTAGCTTAAGATACTATAAAACTGAAACTCTTTCAATTAAAAGGTTCCCAACAGGATTTGGGAGGGAAATAGAAATTATGTGGTTGAAGAGGCAAAACCCAGTAATAGTGTGCAGCGGGACATGATTATGTCATATTTTTTATTCCACCTCTGTGAACTGAAAAATACCACCAGTGAATGAATGTCCTTTCCTTCAACAGGAAAAGGCATTAATAGCTGCTCAGCTGGACAATGCCATTGAGAAGGAATTGCTGGAGAGACTGAAACAAGATACGGTAAGGAAGCTAGTAGCTTTGGGGTACATATAACTTTTTAAGTGGTAGTATGCTAGGAAATATATTTTATTTTTAAAGATGCTAGAAAGATCCCCACTCCGATTTTACCTTTGAAATAAAAGCAATTCTAACAGGCCTGTTTTCCTCATTTTAGCTCATCACCGGGAGCACATAAAATGCTTGTTACCCTTGACTTAACGTATAAGATACTTTGCGCTTGCCATTAGTTCCATTTTTCATTGCAAACTCAGGAGTGCCTGGTCTCTGTATCTCCCTTAGGATTTGGTCCTCCTGCATATTACATTAGTCTTTTAAGGTTCTTTGAAATAAATGTTAAAATCTTTTTAAAAATCAGTGTCACTTACATACAACATGATTAAAAATTTCTCTTGTCAACAAAACTCGGTGTCCAATGCATGGGGTGTGTAAACTACTACATTTTTAATGACTTGGTTCCATTTCCTATACAGGTGTTAACCACTAGTTATGTAAATACCAAAAATGGCTGGCACTCGGCTTGCTAATACAGAAATATTCCTCATCACATTATTTTCATTTAACCAATGAGAAAAAAAAATGCTTGTGGAACAGTGGAAATTGAAGTGTAATGCCCACATGGAATTAAAGCTAGTCCGTTTGTTCTTCAGTATGGCGACATCTACAACTTCCCCATTCATGCCTTTGACAAGGCTCTGGAACAGCAGGAAGCAGAGAGTGATTCTTCAGAAGCAGAGGAGAAAGAGGATGATGAGGAGGATGAAGTAAGTGTTTGAAGAGCAGTGACCTAGAGATAGCCTATTATCTTTAGCCCTCTAACTGGAATAATTTTAATCACCTGTCCCATCAGTAGAAAATTTTGGTTTAGCAGTGGCTTCTTTGTTCTGCAGGCTCAGCCAACAAACTGTTTACAAGTGAACAGTGTTAGCTCTCTTTTAAAGATGTTTTACCTCTGATGTCTGATGTCAGGCATGAGAGTTATCTCTGTCCCTAAATTTTGGTTGCCTGATATGTAGGTTTTGATTCTGGTTATTTATATACTTACTCATCAAAGAAACTATTTCAACTGTTATCTTTATTATGTGTTTTAAACCTAATTACTGGCTTATTTTAGGATGTAGGAGAAAAAGAGTTCGTGGAAGATGATGAAGTGGATGAGAGTGAACTAAGTGATTTTGAGGTGAGCTCTGGGGCTTTTTTTTAAAAAAGCCTTTGGCCCCTAGCTAAAGAAGATAGAGGGTTTCTGAATGAAGTGAGTTGGGGAAAACCCAAGGGTGTTCTCTCCTCATTGACCTTCTCTCTGTGTATTAGGACATGGATAAACTGGAGGCCAGTGATGATGATCAGTCATCCAGTGAAGAAGAACAGGCTAACTCGAAACACAAAGGGAAAACACCCCTGAAAGGAGCTTTGCGCAGAAAACGAGCCTATGTGGAGATAGAATATGAACAGGAGACAGAGCCCATGGTCAAAGCCAAAACCACATGATCTCTCTGCAAATGTAATCAAGCCTGAGCATCCTGAGGTTTTTCTATTACACATACACCTCCAGTTTTTTGCTCTTTTGTATTATATGTCACACAATATTTGTGTTTTTAATATTTATGTTATTTCACTGGGGCAAGAAATATAGACTGAATGGAGGAAACTCGTTAGGTTATGAAGGGTGTTTTTATAGCTTATGTGTTGAAGTGACAGCTTGAACCTAAGAAACTTAACAGATGAATTCCTGGAAGTGGAATGAGGTTGTGGGTGTAAATATTTCTAAATTTTTAGCACTGAATTCCTTTGTGTCCTTTTCTACTAATTTTTTTTTAGATATGGTCTCGCTATGCAGTTCAGGCTTACTTTGTAGCCCAGGTTGGTCTCCAACTCACAGCAGTCCTCCTACCTTGAATTCCCAAGTAGTGGAGTTACAAGAGTGCGCCACCACTACACTGGCTACTTAAACATCATTTAGAAATGATAGAATTTCAATTTTTTTTCTTGTTCCTATTTTGTTATTTCTTAATGAATGAAAAGGAATGAGAAGGAAAAAACAAAACTCCCAACTTAAAATGTTTAATATAAAAATATCTTTTTCTACTACTCCATTCAGACAATATGAGACAAAAAAAAAAAAAAAAAAAAAAGAAAGAAAAAAGACCTTTCCTCTTGGGCAGTAATCTTACATTCCGTGGTAGGGCATACTGTCACAATCCTGATGCACTTGCCTGATGCAGCTCACCACTGTGCTGTCCTCACAGCTGAGGAGGATTCTGGCCAAAAGATCCTGAAACATAAAATGAACATGCACTCACGTTACAAAATTGTTATTTTCCCACTTTTATCTCGATTCTTTTTTTCTTTGGAACCAAGAATTGAACACAGGGCCTTGCCCTTAGCAGGCAGGCACTGTGCCACTGAGCTATCTGTCCAGCCCAATTTTTATTCCTTGGTATTATATCCAAAGAAGGAATGTAAGGGTGACACTAGACAACAGGTGTAATAGCCGTATTATGTCTAAATATTTTCAGTATATAAATTCATTTTGATGCTGCAGTCTTTCAATTAAAAATCCCTACATACAAGGGCCAGCCAAATAGCTCAGCGGATTAAAGCACATGCAAGCAGGTGCGGGGGCTGGGGGTTTGATCCCCAGGCCTGCCATGGTGGCCAGACCCCTAGGGTGTGCTGAGACAATGATTGAGACTGGGTGTGGTGGTACATGCCAATAATCCCAGCACTTGGAGGCTGTAAAGAGGAGAATTACTAAGACTCTGAGATAGTAGTAAGACCCTGAACACCCTTCCCTAAAATAACAAAGAATCCCTACATACAATAATCAACACAACTAGTTCACTAAATACATACAAATGTACACATAGGTATTCTAAGCTGTCACATAGGTATTCTAAAAGTCATTGAGAGATGACTTTTGTGGAATGTGGAACCAGTGGAGGAATCCCCTTGTGGACAGAAAGTGAAAAAACATCTGCTTAAGAGGTGGTGCTCCCCCCCAAAATAGAAACATTTCAGGTATCTGAATTACTCTGAATTATTACTATTACACTGTGGTAGCTTTGAGCTTATTCCCTTTTACTTAATTCACAAGAATAACTACAAGCTCTGATACAAGCTCTTTTGCCTATTCAGTCTTGCCCTTCAATTATACCTGCTTTCTTTGCCTTTTGCTGTAAGGAGTTCTGAACAGCTTTAAAAGAAAAATAAGAGGGTCTAAGGTATAGATCAGTAGCATGTACAAAGTCCGGAGTCTCATCTTCACCAGAAACAAAAGACTGTGAGATAATAATCACAACTACTGAAGACTAGAGGACATACAGGTGGGGGCTAAAACCCTCCATGTTCATTACCAGATTTGTTCAGTAAATTCAAATCTACCATAGGGGTTACCTACATAGAATGAGGCCCAAATGAAACCAGAGGCAGACTGCCTTACCTTAACCTGTCCTTGACAGCAGTGGTCCAAGACAATCAGGCAGCCTGTTGCCTCCTCTAACAAGGCATTCTTAACAGGCTCAGGCGTAAGGTTCTGGTCCCTCGCCACATCACATATCAGTTTCAGGAGAGCCTTCAACAAGACCACAAGTCTGCAGGAGATTCTGGAATCGGGAAGGAAATGTATTCAGATTCTAAATTCAGATGTTCCAACTTGAGACCAAAGGCTGTCTGGTAGAAAGCCCTCATTTAATAGTGAGACACTACAGTCAGCTAAATGATGTGGAAGTTCTGGTTTTGGAAACAACCTGAGACCAGCCTCCAGACTTTCAATTCTCCTATTGTACAGCATGCTGCCAGTATAGATAAGCACATATCACCTGGCCTGTTCAAGAATACCGTCGCTCCTTCCAGAAGTTTGGTTCTATTCCAAGGAAACAGGCCTTTGATGGGATCAGAAGGGAGTTCTCATCAAGATCCTATACTTTTTTTTTCCAGCTTTATTCATTTTTTTTTATTGAGAAATAAATATGAATGAGACAGTTTCACAGCTGATTAACAGGACAGTTTTGATAGTCGATACAATGTACATTGTTATCTTCTTAGTGGTTATCCATGGTACAAGAAGCAGACAGGATATGCTGTCCAAACACTGTTAGTACACCTCTTTCTTATGGAGTTAAGCGAAAGCAGCTGTAAATTTATCCTATTTTGTATATGTAAATACAAAATGAAGATCCTATACTTCTGCCCAGAGAAAAAGACCTGGCCCACAGTTAACTTTAGATCATCTTTGCCATAGAAGTTAATAATGAAGTAGGAAATTAAAAGTAGATTTCTGTGACTCAGCACAGTTTGAATTTTCAGTGATACAATTTCAGATCCTAGCTTACTATCAGTTAAGTATCGTCTATTTTTTTGTAATTATTAACCTTCTTTCCTAAAATTTATAAAACAAATTTCTGGAAATGGATAGGGATGATGAGTTATATAACATTTTGATATACTCAAATGCCACTGAACTGTACACTTGAAAATGGCAAATTTTTTGTATTTTTTAAAAAACCACAATAAAACTACATCTTTATAAAAGTGGTAAAATTGGACTTGCAATGTGAAAACTGCCCAGTAAACTATTTCTTCACCGAAATGTGACAAGGAGAGATTTTAATCCCTTCATGTAAAGAACATTCAGCCTTTTGCTGTGGCTCATGTGCCTCTCCAGCCTCTTACCTGTTGTCACTCAGCACATGTCCTGTCAGCCACTTCCCTCGCTCTGCCTCTTCACACACCTTTTTACCCTCCCTACATCTGGAGTCTTGGCATAGAATTAATCTTATTCTAGTCTAGTGTATTCATTCTTTTAATATTTGTGCATTTCATTCCAGGTAGGTAGTACATTTTGGGAGTATATAATACAGCCTTTTATAAGCTGCATTTTATGTTATCAGAAGACTGTAAACGGATGAGATCCAGTTATAAATGTGACTTGGGGGAAAAAATTCTCATGGGGGAAAAATTACTCTGGGTTCGTTGTATATTTGAGGCAGAATGACAGAGAACAGATGCTATGTGTTGGGGCACCAGATTCTTGGGCTGAATTAAACTTTTGTTAATCTACAGATGAAAGCTTGCTGCTGGCTCAGTGGCTTGGAATCTGGCAAACCAGATCTGGCACCCTCTGGGCCACAACTGGAATGCCTTCTAGGCACTGATAATCTAAGTTAGCATTCAGATGCTCTGCAAATGGTCAGTGATGCCCTATGATGTACTCTGTTCTTAGATTTAAAGAACTTTAAGATGAACGAACAGGAAGCATGTCTAATGCAGTGCTTCTTAATGGCACTTATTTTCATGAGTTGCGAATCTGGTGACATACATAATCTGTAAGCTTTCCCAAATTACTTGGCCAAGAATGGTTTTTCTTCTGTGGGATATCAAACTACCTGGGTAGGGATGGGCATGGGAGTGCAAACCTGTCATCCCAGCAGGCTGAGGCTCAGGCAGGACTGCCAAATTTGAGCCCAGCCTGAGCAACTCCGTAAGACCCTGCCTTAAAGAGCTGAGGATATAGCTCTGTGTACAGGTGTTGGGTTCAATCCCCCATACTTATCAAAGTACCTTGGTGGATATTCTTCAGAATACTGAATTTAAAACAAAAATGATTTAGTTGCAACTGTAAGTATATTTCAGCTTCCTACTGCCATTTTCCCAGTTCAAAATCTCAGGTGAGTGAAAACAGAACGCAGTCAAATATATCACGGGCCCTTCCTTCCTTCTACGTTGAATGTACCCCTGGGCAAGTTCTGAAGAGAAAGCTACCTAAGCTGTCTCCCTTTCAGCATATCTGTCTGGATGCTATAACCGTTGTACCTGGGCCAAGTGTAATACATGAGAACTTTTAGGGTTTCCAGCATCTTCAACCTCGCCTCCTCCTCTGGTCCATCATAAACCTCCAGGTAACCAACGATGACTCTTTCTAACCTCTTCAAGTGCCGGACACTTAGGATCCCCAACCTAAAAACAGAAGGGAAAATGTGACACTGAAGAGTGAAAGTTGGGGTGAATGGCAGGCCAGCAGCCCAAGTACCCACCTTCCCACAAAGGTGGGTAGATTCCTTGCATAGGTCCTGCGCAACAGCAGGCGGTGCTCTGCCTCCATGTGGGTCAATATCAGCTGCAGGACCTCGTCACAGTGTGTGGTTGGTCGAGCTGCATCACCCGTCCAGTGCTGGGCTTTCTCCAGGACTGGGAATAAATCCAACAGACACAGGAGCACAGCCTAGGAGGAAGGAAAGAAAGATGTATAGTTCATGCACCTGCATTCACAACACTCCTGATTTTTTTTTTAAGTCATTAATCAGCCATTATTAAGGTATAAGTCATAAAATTCTAAGATACAAGTAATATATTAATGCTCCCATGCCTAAATATTCGTAACAGCAGAACATACATAATGAAATGTTTTCAAAATCTTGTTGCTTGAATTTTTCTAAGTAACATACGAATTTCATGTAAAAATTTCAATCTTTGGCATAAATGGGTGAAGTGCATATTACTTTAAGTTTTTACCCTTTTTATATTTTTTTATCTCACTTTGAAAGTCTAAAATACTGTCCTTAGGACAATTCTTTCTTATATAATTTTTTAAAAACCTTTTATATATTTATTTGCTACAGGTTCTCACTATGCAGCTTGGACTCATAGTGATCCTCCTATCTCAGCCTCCCCAGCACTTGGATTACAGGTATGTGCCACCATGCCCAGTGTCAGTGGCCTGCAAGGCTTGCCAGGAGTTCTGGGGCTGGCACAACATGCGGTACAATGGATTGAACCTGCGTCTTTGCACTTGCCAGTATCTCTCCAGCCACAGAACAATTCTTTACTAATTTGTAAACTATGAAGAATGACAGAGAAGGGACTTTAACTTAAAACTTTAGGATTCTATGCCTACTGTCATTAAGTCACAAGTCTAAGTCAATTAGTGATATACACAGAATTTACATATACTTAAAACATTCCTACATAGACTCTAAGATGCTCTAAATTTATATCATATTTGACTATCTTAAGTTTTCAGTGTCAATCCTTACACACAAAAAGATGTTTCTAATTTTATATATCTCGTTTATTCTGTCTCCAGAATATTCTAAGAAATTTCCATTCACCTTCCCTAAGCAAACATTCTCCATAAGGCCTCCTTATAAAGCCGCCTAAAACCACCTCAAATCTGGCTAGCTACCTATTACTGAACACCCACTACACTTCATACAAACCTCTTCTAACAGTTACCACTGTATGGTATTTAGATGCTGTGGTGGATTGCTAACTGGTGGTCAACTTGTTACTGAACTGAACTGTGGTTCACCACAGTGTGGTGCTGGGTGTGGGAGGCCCACCTGAGGACTGTTGCCAGCAGCACAAGAGGCAGAACTAAAGAAGCTGTTGAGGCTGTTAGGGAAGCTGTTTGAAGAAGCTGTTCAGAGCTGTTGCAAATTTCTGGTTCCCTTGGGCTTTTCTGCTGAGGGACCCTGTCCATGCTGACTTTCCTGGTGAACTTGGCTGTTCTTGTCGGAGGAGGAGCTCAGTACCTTGTCACTGAAGATGACTGTGGTTCATTTTAGGGAGCTCTGGCCCTCACCTTGAGCATTGTTTCCTTGGTCCAGAGAAAAAACTGGTACACTGCTCAGCCTTCCTGAGAAGCTTGTCACGTTGGTCTTCCCAATGCGAACTTAGCTGGCCTCATCATCAGAAGAGCTGGTGACTTCGCTGTCGCTCAGACGGCTGTGGTACTTGTCAGGGGAGTCTGGTGCTTACCTTGTTTCCTGACTCCAGTTCAGATCCCTCAGCCTACTACCACAGATCCTCCATCCCACTGGCACAGACTTTCTAGCTTCCACCACTGACCTTTGGGCCTTTGCAGTGCCGATCTGTGAAATAGGCCTGCATGAGACAATGTAATGGGTTCCAGGCCTCTAGTTGGACTTCTGGGAGGCACTGTTATGGGCTCTAGGTCTTCAGCTGGACTCATACAGGATATTAGGTTCGAGGTCCTCAGCTGGATTCTTTGGTCTTTACTGTGTGGACAGATTTCCTACACTCTGTATAAGATTCTTTGGGTGAATCATTGTAAAATTATCTTATAAAATGTGTCTTGGAGCTGGGTAGACGGCTCAGCAGATAAGTGCTTCCCTGGCAAGCGCAAGGGCCTGAGTTTAATCCATGGTTCCGCCAGAAAAAAAAGTGTCTTGTACTGTATTGTTCTCCTGGCAAAATCCCAAACACAACAGATACATATATTTGTATACATAATCATAATTTCCAAAAATGTCCTTCCAAATGTCCTTGAGTTTCTTAAACTATCCAATTCACTTACCCTTGAACCTACAGTTACTAGCACACAATATTATCAGTTAATGTCTGCGGAATAAAAATAAACAGCACTAAAAACATGTGAAGAGTTTTGAATACGTGTTGATGTAAGAAAGCACAGAACATTTAAATTAATGAAGAGTATTTTCAGATATAAAGCCATGTGATATATAACTGACCCACAAAGACAAAATTGCCTTTTCTGTTAAGATTCGGAAATGTAAATGCCTGCTTAGTGTTGGAGATATTTTTAAACTGGCGACACTTTTTAAGTTATTAATCTCAATTTCTAAGAAAAGAAAATGTCTCAACTACTACTTATATAATGACATTTTCTATTCAGATTTATACAACCCACATAGTTATGAATAAATCTTACAATTACCTCAATGAGGTGGTACTCTGGCATGTACAGATGGTTGAAAATGGCATGATAGATGACTTGGGCTCTGTTATACTGTAGCAAATCAGCAACTGGCTGCAAGCAGACAAATTACCTGGTTAAAAGAAAGCTTTCCACAAATTGGCAAAATGTTAGTAATTTTAAAACTGGATTATATATACCATGGAGATTTATCTCTAACAGAGTTTTTTTTTTTTTTTTTTTGTTCTTTTTTTTTTTTTTTTTGTGGAACCAGGGATTGAACTCAGACCCTTGCACTTGCCAGGGAAGTGCTTATTCCACTGAGCCATCTCCCTGGCCCCACCATGGAGATTTATTACAGCATTCCACTTCTGTATTTATTTATTTACATTTTTTTTTGTTGTTGTTTTGAGACAGGGTTTTGCTGTGTAGTTCAGGCTGTCCTTGAACTTACTATCTAGCCTACATTGGCCTTAAACTCACTGTAACCTTCTTGTCTCAGCCTCCCAAGTGTTGGGATTACTGGCTTGCACCACCATACCTGGCTTATTTGTGGGTATATTTTGAAAGCCCCATAATATAGAGTGTACATTCCCTTTCAGTTTATTTATTTTTTGCTATTTACAAGTCAATTGTTAATCACTCAAGGTCTAGTTATTCAGATTGGTAATGACTCGTGCCTTATTTCTTCTGTAATTATCTTGGTTGGTATGTTGTTTGGGAAGACTGTTGGTGCTGGAGATGGAACCTAGGACCTTGAGCATGGTAGAGCACACAGTCTACCTTGAGCTGCACCTCAAGCCACATAATTATACTTTTAGTTGTACTACCTTATAACATATAGACTCTGCCAGGTTGGCAGAGGGAAAGTTTAAGGAGGAAAACACATAAATAAGTGAATTTAAAGACTTAACAATGGTAACAGAAACTTAGGGCTGGTGAGATAGCTCCGTGGACTAAGTGCCTGCTTAGACAAGAGCAGGGACAGGGGTTTGATCCCCAGCACCACTTGCTACACTGGCCCCGTCCCAGGCGTACTGAGCCAGCCATGGAGTCTGGGCATGGTGGTGCATGCCTGTAATCCCACCACTGGGGAGGCTGAAAACAGGAGGATCTCTACAAATCCAAGCTTCGTAGTGAGACCCTATACCAAATACATTAAAAAAAAAAGAAAAAGAAAAGAAACTTAGTAAAAAATTTAAAAATAAATGCAAGCAAAATTAATAGTTAAATCATGAAGAATTAATGAGTCACTCTGTCCCATAAATGCAGGTGACGGAGATCGCTTACCACATTAAGCACAATGTGATGTAGGCAGCGTACACCTAGGATTTTGTTCTCAGTCTGATAATCATCTGAAATGAGCAAGGATGGGGGAAGTGTGCTTTCTAGGTATTGCGTTAGCCAGGGCCGAGTAACCTGTTGCAGAGTCCAGGAGAAAACGTGTTTGACAGCAGGATTATTCTTCCAGGATTCCCTAAAAGGATACATGAAATCATACTGAGTACAGCGACAGGATATTAACTAGCAAAGAAAGGCAACCAGGTCAGCCCAGTGTGGTGGCCTGTCCTGTAATCCTAGCTACTCCAGGGGTAGAAGCAGAAAGGATCAATAGTTGCAGGCCAGGATGAGCAAATTGGTGAGATCCTGTTGCAAAAGTAAAAAAGGACTGGGGACTGGACACGGTGGCACACACCTGTAATACCCACATGGGAGGTGTGGTAGGAGGGTCACAAGTTCAAGACCAGCCTGGGCAACTTAACAACTTAGACCCTGTCTCATAATAAAGTTAAAAAAAAAAAAAGCAGGGAGGGCTGGTGACAGCACTGAAAGGACTGGCAAACACACACAAATCTCTGGTTCAATCTCCAGTATCCCCAACCGGAAATTCTTGATTTCACAACATATGGATGCTCATTTTATGATGTGCATCAAAACAATTCATGTAACTTACCCAGTGAAGATGTGCTGAGACGGAGAGAAAGAAATGTCAAACATTATCATGATAAAGGAACAAATCAGTATCTGAACACCAGTTTATAGCTGACAAATGACTCAACTAATCCTCAAAATAATAACTGGGTAAAGACATTATATTACAAGTAATGATACTGAGCTTCAGAGAGCCTATAACCTTGGCCTACTCAGACATTAGAAGCAACACTAGTCTAAAATCCAGCCAAATCCCTGAGAAAACGAGTTATGGTCCTTTTCTTTCCTTACTTCAGTTTTACAAACACTAACAAAATAGCAAGTGGAAACTCACAAAAAAAGTATTTTAACAAACATTACAGTAATCTAAAAGGTTTTCACTTTTCATTTCAAATACTCCTTCCCTAATAACTTCGCCTAATAACAAGCAATGAAATTAAAAATATGTAAGTTTAAATTGAAACCATAAATCTAACTCTTCAAACCCCAATCCTGACCTAACGATACTCAATCCCAGACAGAATTCCCAATTTTCCTTAACAAGTGTCAAAATTTCCAACTTTCAAAGGGCAGTTCTGGAAAGAAACTGGGTTTTAACCTTGAATTTGCTCCTGTCTAGTTTGCTCCTTTTGAGCGAATCATAAACTCTCTCGTCCCTAAAAGATCTATTACAACATCCTTATTTCCCTGATGAAGAAACTCAGATTTTTGACTTGCAGAGCTGTAGAGCAAACCTCCAATCAGCGGCAACGGGCAAGAGTACTCACTTATTCAAACTGGGTTTGAGAAGGCCCAGGATCACAGGCAATCGACCTTCCTCCTCTTGGTTTTCCCCGCGGAGGAACCCTGCCACGGACCCACAGTCTGTCACCCTCAGCAGGGCGGCAAGCACCTCTCCGGCGACGTCCCGGGAGCTCGGGCTGCCCCACGGCTGCTCCAAGCTGTGTGTGACGGCAAACACGTAGGCAGGTCCCGCCAAGCGACGCAGGCCTGCCCTCCACTCGGGGCAGAGCTCCCCCGGGGCGCTCCTGGCAGCCTCGACTTTGCTCAAGAGCTGAAGAAAGAGCGCGCCCACCTCGGCCGCCCTGGCGGCCACCTCCGGGCCGGCAGCGTCCCCGCGGGCCTCGGCCTCCCGGGGCGGGGACGCGTACTTCTCCAGGGCCTTGGCCACCTCTCCCAGGGTCTCGGGCATTTTGCGGCGGGCGCCGCCGCTCCGCGCAAATAAGCGCTCACATGCTGTGGCTTCTAATAGAGCGCCGAGGTCCTTAACAGCGGTAGCTCTCGCGTCGCGCCGCCGTGCCGGCCGGCCGGTGAGGCGACGCAAAATCTTGGAGAAGGCGAGCCCGAGCGCAGAGGGAGCGGCCGCCCCAGGCGAGGACGCGCCTTCCCGCCACGCTTCCTCCTCGCCGGCCGGTTCCATTCCTCGACCGCGGGACGGGTGCGAGGAGGGCCCCAACAGAGACGGGCAGAGGCGACTCCGAGGCGGGGGCTGCCTGGGACAAAGGGGGAGGCTGCCCGGGACAGTAAGGTGTGAAGGAGAGGCCTTCCTGGTAGCTTCAGACGCGACTCCGTGGAGAAACTACTCTTTCTGGAGGCGCAAAAACCCAAAAAGAACACGAATTTAAGAAATAAACTGCTGGGCCATGACGCGGACGCGGCTACGAGTACCTGCCGCCTTTCCCGCACAAAATCTTTGTCCAGCAGCTTCCGGCTCCTGCGAACATCACTACCGCAAAGCGCACGAAGCACTTCCGCCGATACTGCCGTAACACTTCATTTCACGACATCTGGTCGTAAAGCTACTTTTTAAAAAACCTGTTGAGAAAAAAAGGCAAAAAAGGTGGAGCTAGTGCAAATATATTTGCATAGATAAGCATCCGCTCGCTAATTTTGTGTATGTTTCCTTTATAAAGGTAAAAGCAAAAGAATGATCACAGGATATCAGCGGTACTTTTTAACCGCACAGAATTTTACATACGGAGTCTAAATATTCCTGCACTATGATAGTCACCCTTTGTGTGAAATTGGTGGCCTATATTTGGATATTCTCAACGGCATTTCAAACTCGATCCTTCGGTTCATAAGCGTGATGATTGGGTGTTCATGTCTTACAATACATGAGATGTGCCTCCCTCAAACCTTGTTACGACGTGGGCACATTACCCATCTGACATGAACGTGGAGGATCAACTTTTATTGAAATTTTGGAAACACTATGGCTAAACTTCTTGAGACCGGCAAGAGTCAGCTTCTGGCCTCCTCAGGTTCTCTCTTACGCTCGGGCCTCCCCGAGGGTTCTGTAAGCTCCTACCCTTACCCCTGTCGTTTTCGGCTCTGCGCTGGGAAGAAAAAATATGGGTGGTAAACGGCAGGCCCTGCCCGTTGGGCTTCCTGTGAGACGCCCTGGATTTACATACATGTGAGCACTTTTATTACAAGGATACTCGTGGGAAAGTTGTACAAAGGTGTTCACACGCATCTTTGCTAAGCGAGGCTCCTGGTTTAAGTCGCGGTTCTTCCCGCGGGAGCTGCGTGGGCAGACCGGCCCCTCTCGGCCTCTTTCATGTTGCCTTCCCTTCTCTCACCGATTGGTGGCGCTCACGATTCTCTCGGTAATTTTGTCTCTGCGTACTTTCGCGTCAAAGACCCAGGCGAGCAAGATGCGATCAGCAGGCCGTTACTGTGTCTTCCCGTGTGTGAGCGCTTCTTCCTTGGTGCCCTGCTCCTTGGGCTCCACTTGGATCCAAGCTCTCACTTGGGGGTGAGGGAAGTACTTGTGTTGTCGTTCACCCTCTGTACACGAGTTTCCTGAAGTGGCGACCGTGTCTTTAACCATTTTAAAGACGGCCTGGGAAAATGTGGTCATGCAATAAATGCTTGCTAAACCCGCACGGAGGTACCCCGAGAGCTGGCTGAATAACGCTCTCCTCCACGCACTTCAGCTCTCTGCAGCCGTGTGGGGAAGGGAAGCCCTCGCCAACCCCAGGATGAACTAAGTGGAAAAAGCAGGCCGGAGGCCGCGTGCGTGAGCTTTGCCCTTCTTGCAAGACACCTGGGCAAGCAGGACAACGGTGTGTGCATTCCCCTACATGTGAGGGAAGAAGCAAAGGTGTGTGAATTACAAACTAATAAAAACCCTGTGTAAGAACAGAGGGAAGGAATGCAGTAGAGGCTAGACTTCTCTGCATACTGCACTCATAGTTTTTGAGTTTGGAATCATCTTAGTGTTTCACTTTTTTTTTTTTTTTTGCACTGGGGATTGAAGGCATGTATAATTATTCTTAAAAACAAAATAGCTAAACACATGCAGATCAATAAAACGGAATAGAGAATTCAAAAACAACCTAAGGCATTCAGCTGCCCGATCTTTGACAAACAAGGTCAAAAATATACACTGGAGGAAACGCAAGTTCTTTCACAAATGATGCTGGGGAAAACGAGCTATCCACATACAGAAAACTGAATCTAGACCCATATGTCTCACCATTTACTAAATTAAAATCGCCATAGATCAAAGACCTAAATATTAAAATAGAAACACTTAATCTTTTTTTTCCCAGAAACAATCTGTTACAAAATAAAATAAGTGAAATTCTTGAAGACAAAGGCATAGGCAAGACTTTCTGCACGGAACTCCAGTTTGTACAAGAAACAACAATAATAATCAAGAAATGGTATTCCAAGATATCAAATTAAAAAGTGACTGCACAGCAAAGGAAATAACAGTAAAGGGACAAACTACAGAATGGGACAAACCTTTGCTACCTACTCTTTAGTGAGCATGCTAATCCCTAGAATATATAAAGAGCTCAAAAAATGTACTGTGAGTAACTACCATGGAGCTTTTACAAGACACAAGGCATTAACTATTGTTACTCTCCTGTAAGCCCGTTTTGAAACTCTATTTTATTTTTCTTCTCTTTAAATAGAAACTGACTTTAAGGCTCATTACTTTGACTATATGTCAATGTGGCATATGCTAAGGAATAAAGAAAATGGCAAAGAAATAAGCTACATTTAGTAGTAGTATGTTGTTATGATAATTTGGATGCTATTTTGCATATTGCATCTAACATATATAAGACAGAAATAAGCAAAAATCTAAGGTTAGTAGCTAAAGCTTCAATTAAAGATAATTATCAAATAAGTGAAATTAGTACAAATTGTGTAATCTGAAATTTGAATGGGCAATTCAGTATGAATTAATTTTCTCACTGTACACAATACATATACATATATACTACATTTTTGCATATGCTGTTATAAATATACATGAATACATATATACTGTTTTCATCCACTAAAAAGGCCAAGAAGCGATGAGCTGTGAGCATCCTCACTGACCCAGTTCCCATGGAAATGCCCTTCTCACAAACAGGGACTAGTTGTAATTTTCTTAGGGAATGCCTAATTTTGGAACTGCCTAGCAATCACACAAGATGAGCCTGGCATTTTGTTGTGCCAGGAAGCAAAGTAGATGCCAAAAGAATCCAAGAATCAAGTTGAAATTGTATGCTTTGGCCAAAGATGGAACAATTTGAGCAGGAAACAAATACCATGAATTACACACATTAAATATATACAAACAAGATCCCCGGTGTGCAGTGCTGGCCCCGCCCTTGGGGTACGCACCCGTAATCCCAGCACTTGGAAGGCCGACAACAGGAGAATCACTTTGAGTCCAATCTACATAGTGAAACCATGTAGGCCCTGGAGACCCCGTACTAAATACATAAAAATAAATAAGTAAATACAAACCAGTGGATTCATGATGATACTAACAGCAAAATCCCTCATCATTCATATTTTGATCATATTTTGAAAGTGGGTAAATAAAAGGAAGAAATGAAGCATTTAGTCCACTAAATATTTCAGGGTACCTAAATTGTTTGTAGGGGTGATAAACGCAAGAGAATTGGAGAATTAGAAAATTATTGTTTTGTTGTAAAAAAAAACATATATGCATATACAAGACAGGATAGATATAGATATACAGCTACTTTCTCTTGAGAAGAGAAAAAAAGGTTTCATTGAGAAGAAAGGTTTGTACTAATATTGTTTAGACAAGATATCATGTCTGCATCTTGTCCTCTGAATAACTACTACGAAGACAACCATATGCAATGTATTAGTTATTGTAACTGTCCTACTAATCTGTTTTGAAACTGATTGCTATTTTATTTTTTCTCATTAAAATGAATAAAAAAATTATTTATTAAGAAAAAAGAAAGAAAGCCATTGTTTTCTCCTCGCTGTGAAGCGTTGGGATAAGGCAGCAGGCAGCAAAGGCTGCTCAAGTTACAACATGAAAGCTTGATAGGAACTTTGCAACGACTAGATTGTGCCAAGAAAGTCTGAACCCACTGATTTAAGTTCACATTACTGGCAGTGAGACAACCAACCAATGCCTGTTGCCTGAGGTAACAGGATTGGAAGTACGTACTCCCTGTGAACTATCCTGGCATACTACTTGACTCTAAAGGTAACCAAACTGCCACCAGATCTGCTAGCAGATGGTGAGCATAAAGGAAAAGAACAGAAGACACCAAGCTAAGACAGTGTCACGGATCTCACTACGGGTGTGGAAAATACTGCAAATTACTCCATTTCTTTCACAAGTAGCTGTCATGAAAGAAAAAATGGAATGGAGGGAGAACTGACACAGGTACTAAGGTTTTTTTTTAATTTTTATTTTTAGATAAGATTTCACTATATAGTGCAGGCCTTGAACTTCATACATAACCCAGGCTGACCTCAAACTCACCATTCTCCTGCCTTAGCCTCTTGAGTTCTGGGGTTATAGACATGTACCACAATGCCTGGCTTAGCACCTCAGCTAGTGGTAGGCATGGTGGCATACCCCTGGGCTCCCAGCAATTGGGAAACTGAGGCAGGAGGATCATTACAAGTTCCAGGCCAACCTTGGGGTGAAGTGAAATCCTGTCTCAAAAATAAAATAAAATAAATTTCAGGTGAGACTGAGGCTCAGTGATAGTGTACTTATCCGACATCCACAAGGCCCTCACTTTAATTTCTAAAACTGCAAAAATAAAGATGAATAAGATGTAGCTCAACCAAATGCAATATTCAATCTTATTTTCAATACACAGAGTTCTAAAAGATGTGCTTAGGGTAATTGAGGAAATTTGAGCAAACATCTGTCAGACGGATGTTCATGTAATTTGGCCCATAAATAAAACATGCTGAGAGTTTTATTTTGACAGTTTCTCAGACAGTTAATGCTAACACAGCATTGAACATATAACTCAAGGTATATAGCCAAGAAAACTAAAAAATCTGTGTGCAAGCAAAAACTTGGGTATAAATGTTTACAATTGTATTATTCGTAAAAGCTAGTGAAACATCCTGAAATCTTCCAGCTGATGAATGGGCAAATACTGTTGTTTGGATGTTCAATGACCCCCAAAAGCCCATGAGTTAAAGGTTTAGTTCTACTGAAAGACAGTAGACCTGTTACAAGGGCATTTTATGTTAGTCCTT